TCTGTCGAATACATTATAAACGTTTTAAAAATATTTAAAATCAAAATCACAAGTTTTGCTCCCATAATGAAATAGCGGAACGGAAATATTACAACAGTTTCTCGTGCTTCTTGACACCAAATGGAGTGTCCGATAATAATCGTGAAGTAAAAAATGTCCTTTATTATATGTTCATAAATTGAAAAAACATTATTTCTATATATTTTTATGAATTATTAAAACTAAACGTGTCATTGAGATTTTCAACAGATATTTCAGATACCTTCGAATGAAATCTACAAGACATCTTAAAAAATCTATCGCTTGAGATATTTAGCAAAGGTTGCAAACAAATATTTAGTAATTATTCTATGCTATTAGGGATAGTGGCTTTCGCGTATATTACCTTTTAAAAGGTACGCCATTATAATGGCTTTCGTGGATATCATGTTTTAAATTTATATCATGTATCATTTACGTGCAATCCGCGGAAAGTGTTGCGGAAAGTCCAGCCATAGTTAAAAGGTTAATTTTGTTCTCCTAAAAGTTGCCGTTTCTTCTTATTTAAAAAAAGAGGTAAAAATTAGACCGCGGGGACCTGAACAATGATCCCTATTTCCTTGACCATTGATAAAGGCACATTTGTGAATGTTAATCGAATCATTATCTCGGTCTCGTTTTTGCAGGAGAGGATATCAGGGGTCATTAAAATGGCGATAGAATAAGCAGAATTTGCTTGCCTTTCGAATAAATGGTGCCTCGTCGAAATCCGCGTCGTCTTAATCCTTCAACGTGTACTGAAGTGATATCAATCGCGATTAGGTCTGATTAAAGTGAAGTGAAACCTCCTTCAAATCAGTCGATTCGAAGACAACACTTTTTTTTAAGGGTATTGGACCAAACTGTCCGAAACTTTGACACATGACTCGTGATCATCTAAGAATTGTCCTGACACGTTCAAAATTTGGATTTTTGGAAAAAAATGTTTAACTTAACCCAGACCAGAACCAAAATGGCGTCGAGCTCTCATATTTCGATCGATGTCCAATTATTGAGGGCTCTAATATGAGAAACGAAAGGGCCGGAACAATTTTACGACAATTTAGAACACTCTGGTAATCGATAAACTCGCATTTTAACGGGATAAAGGCAAAAAAAGTATTTTATGCGCTTCTATGTTAAAACTATGAGAATTCAAGGTCTTGGAGTGAAAATTTAATTGACCTGAAAATCACATATGGCGAGGGGGTCCCTGTGCAGTCAATTAGGGCCTCGGAAACCATGAATTCAGGGGATTTCTGGAGTTTTACTTCGTTTTTTTTATAATTAGATGGAGTATGCTACTTAGTACAATACTCAATATAATTCGATACAGCTGTCGATATAAAAACGAACGTCAGCAGTGTAAGTATTTAGAGAAACTTTTTTTGCCGACGTCAATCAAGTTCCTCGACGTGTTTAATTTCGCCTTAAATAATTCAGCAAAATTCGTTTCCTAATTTAGTACGATATTCAATATAATTCGACACAGCTGTCGATATAAAAACGAACGTCGGCAGCGTAGGTATTTAAAAAAAACCTTTTTTACGGACGTCGATCAAATTCCTCGACGTGTTTCACTTCACCTTAAATAATTCGGCAAAATTCGTTCCCTAATTTAGTATAATATTCAATATAATTTGACACAGCTGCCGATATAAAAACGAACGTCGGCAGCGTAGGTATTGAAAAAAAACCTTTTTTACCAACGTCAATCAAATTCCTCGACGTGTTTCACTTCACCTTAAACAATTCGGCAAAATTCGTTCCCTAATCGCGTTTAAATCGGACCGTTTGTAGAATCGAAACCCGGCATTCCGATAGAAAAAGATCGATCTAAAATGTCTCCGGAAGTAGACTTCGTTTACCTGTAAATTGGGCAAATAAAAAATGAAAAAGAGAAGTGCTCGAGAGGACACGGATTTCCCGGGGGCACGCATCGATAGCTCAATATACACACATTAATATTCTACTTCTACTCGGTAATCGATAATGAAAGTTACGGAGTTTATTATGAGCGTATACCAAGATATATTTGTTGTATTTGTATTCTAAAGCTTATACGTGTATTTTCGACTAAACAGTTACATCGCGCAAGTATTCCTACCGTCAATTTAAGCTTAAGCTAATCATTACGGATACAAATATGTATGTATAAATACGGCGATTGTAAATTGTCGGGGCTCGAAAAATATGTGATAATACGACACCGAATTTACGTGCGACCCCAAAATTCGGGGCCGAAATGGGCGACATACAGAGATAGAGAGGAGGAGCGACGGGATTTATTTTGTAGTCGGTGACTTTCGTGATTGCGCAATCGCTTCCAAATTTAGGAAGTCACTTCGAGAGGCTTTATTACTCGGGACTACTCCGTACTGCCAGAGTAAATAGTATATATAATAATTCGTAGGTAATTAAATTAAAGGACGAAAGGAAATGCAAAACCGGTCGGAAAGTTCCCATTAATGATATTAAACGTTAGATTGTACTTGTTCGCAAGAACGACGCGAAACAATGGTATCGGAGTCCGAACGAGAGGGTCTAGGGTAACCCGAGGTGCGAATTTCTTTTTCGTCTTGCTTTTACGCACAGGAGTTCTATACAGTGCCCTTTGGCACCTAGAGGTAGTCACGTACGTTCCGTTCCCTGTACAGACAATCTGCGATAAATATTTTTCGGGCCCGAGTAACAGGTTCTTATCTTAGCACAAAATTAACGACATTGACGCGCGACTGCCGATCGATCTCGTGATGGTTTCCTGAGGGAAATATTCGTTATGGCTCGTGTCCACGTGCGAGTAAAACTTGCGAGAGGTGCTCTCGGAGAGTACTTGCCATCGTCTACACGGTTTTGTAATTGATCTTCCGCAAGGATTTGCACTCTCCTAGAGCATCCGCTTGATTGTAGAAGTCGAAAAGTTGCGCAAGTCAATTTCGAATCGCTCCCGAAATTCTGGCTGCAAGTTGGGAGTGGTATTTGTTTTGGATGTTTCGTTGTATGACACTTTCAACACCGAATATCTCACATTTTTGAATGAAATTGCAACAAGTTTATGACTATCGTGTACATGGCAAAGCAAGTCTTCTTGCAAGAATTTGCTACAAGCAAATTTATTACAAGTGTACCCGAAAAACTTGCGAGAGGTGCTCTCTCAGAGTATTTGCCATCGTGTACACGGTTTTGCTATTGAACTTCCGCAAGGATTTGCACTCTCCTAGCGCATCCGCTTGATTGTAGAAATCGAAAAGTTGCGCAAATCGATTTCGAATTGCTCCCGAAATTCTTGCTGCAAATTACGAACGGTATTTGTTTCGTATGTTTCGTTGTATGACACTTTCAACACCGAAAATCTCACATTTGAGAGAAATTGCTGCAAGTTTGTGACTACACTGAGAAAAATGAGGTACTTGAAATCAACTAAAAGTGCCTACTCAAAACTAGAATAGTTGACAAGTGAAATTTTGGTTGAAACAATTATTTCTTTACGGGAATTAAAAGTGAAATACTTTCAACTAAACAAAAAATGTATAAATAAGTAATAGTCTACTAGGTTCATATGTGCCCATAATTATGAAAGTGGTCTAAGTCATATATTTTTTGTTTCGAAATTACATTGAATTAATTTCGTTTGAAATAATATGGCGTGAAATAACTGATAAACTCATTTTTTTATAATTTTGACTTAGACCACTTTCATAATTATGGGCACATATATGACTAAAATTGATTCGCCTCCAGTTGTACATTTTTCTCACAGTACCGTGTACACGACAAAGCAAGTCTTGCAAGAATTTGCTAGAGCGAAATTTCTTGCAAATTTATTAGTAGTGTACCCGCAAATTCAAGCTGCTCTAGCAAGAAATGTCGCGTTACTTGCACATGGACACGAGCCATTATGTGATAATTCACGGTGAAGGGTCGCAGGATTACGATCGGCCGCGCCCGTTCTTGTCGATAACGTTATAAACAACGTATGCCGTCTGAAAAAAAGTGCTCTTGTAACTAAAGTCTTAGCGCGAGACTTTTAAGTAATTAAACAAGGGGAGAAAGGTAAACGCGTTAGCAGCAGAAAGTAACGCACTCGCTCCGAGATAAGCCTCTGTACCTAACGTGAACATTATTTCGGTGAACGTCGAAATTACAGACTCTAGGTATTGATATTACGGACATTATATATTGCATTATATTGCTGTATGCAAAATATGGTTACTGTACAATAAATGTTAAGATGTAAGCTCAGGATTTTCCTTTCCGCGAGGGACTGCGGATAAGTCCTACGCGTTTTGGCCTCTTCTAAACGCAATTGGGCTTCTTCCGAGAGTCACGTTTGTATGCCGATTGAATGACGATACGCGCAGCTTTTTTACAGAGCGATATATTTTTCGAAAACAGAAAGTGTCGGTTAAAAGTATTACACGGTAACTGATGGTAATACGTTAGTGACTCCGGGTCGGGATCGTGAGCTCCCGCCCGAAATGGTTGTACAGTTCTTCCTATTAACACATATACATACATATTACACAATATACATATTACATAATATACATATATAAATTGTGCCACGAGATCTTTCCTTAGGCTCGCTCGCAGACCTTAAGAGAAAAATCGCCAACGCACGTTTCAAACGTCGAAGATTTACGATGTGTTTTCTCCTTACTTGTGCCACTTTTGTCCAAAGAATAAAAAAAAAAAAAAAAGAAGAAGAAGTGTCCTTAAGTCTCTATGTAATAAATATATTTCTCGCAGCGCGGACACCTGGTCTTATCCGAAATAAGAAGGTACGAGACTTTTTTTGAGTCGGACTAGCAAGTAATAAAGTCGTATCGTAGCACTCGGTTGAACGGGCATGCGTTAGAAACGCAAATAGAATGCAAATTGATAACAAATACTAATTTTTCGTGAAGCCGGGACTGGTGTAGTAGACTCGGTAGTAAAGCGTTTTACTTCGCCAAAGGGAGTACGAGTTGTCGAATTTAAGGAGATAGACACCCTGAAAGCAGACGTTTAGTTGTTAATACTTGTTTCGAATTGTCGACAGTTTTGCAGAATCAAGGGGCGAGGTGAATAATTCGATTACCTGACCGGGGTACTGATGACTGCCAGCGTACACCTCCTCCTGCGAGTCTCTCCTGAACACCTATGACGGTAAATTATTAATAGAAATATTTTTCAATCACCTTTAACTAACTTAAATGCTTTCATACATACAGGTACTATCACACTGATAGGCGGCGAGGTACTTTTGTACTCTGACCGCGTATTGCCATTTATTGCCCCGGTTTCTAAGTCTTCTCGAGAATCGTAGTCCTCATCCTCTTCGTCTTCGTCCTCCGACTCACTGATGTGGACCGAAACTTGAGTAGTATCCGGTTTGGACCATTCGAAGTAAACTCCGAAGCCAATGTCGTAGCCATCGGTAGCGAATTCCCAAAACAGACAGGAGCCGTTTTCATGGGTTGGTACCCTAACGGTAACAGTTTCTCCATGGCCGACCTTAATAATAGCATCTCCAGCTTCCCTTCTAATGGTATTCTTAAATTCCTCTACACCTTTCGTAGTCCACATTTCAGCCGTTGAAATGGGGGGCCAGTCTTGCTGTAAGTCATCCGAATCATCTTCGTTCAACGGAGTAGTCTCGTTTGACTCTAGGGTATTTTTATCGCTATCCTTGTTGATATTTTCAGGCAGGAGATCTTTGTTTTCTGATTCTTGTTCCTCGATAACTAATTGGTTCTGATGTAATTGCTGCATATACTGATGATAATGTTGCTCCTGTAGCTGACGAATAAGAACACCTTGTTGTTCGGGATTGCCAGGATATTGTTGTTCTGCGTATGCTTTAAACTGATAATATGTCTGTTGGTTCAGTGCTTCTTGAATCAGTCTCCTCTGATGTTCCTGCCTCAGTCTTTCTTCTTCAACTTTCTTCCTTTCCTCCTCGAGCTCCCTCAACCTCTTCCGTTCTTCTATTAATCTAGCTTCTTCCTCCTGCTTCAATCTTTGTTTCTCTTCGATATCCCTCTTCTGAGCCTCCACGACCGTCTTAAAAAGAGGACACAATTTATCCAATAAAACTATAAAGCCTTCCATTGCTTGTTCCTTTGAAATGTCTCCTAGATTTTGCCATGCTAACCGCCTGTCCCTACCAATTACGTCTAAAACGCCCAAAGGCGGGGCATTTTCGGGGGTGCACTTCCCATGCATTACTTGTTGAGTGAAGGCGACTAATTTCAATTTGTCTTCGTACGAGAGATGTACAGCCTTCCCCTCTTTTTCTGTCAATATAAAAATACTTGATTAAACAACTTGCAAAGATAACGTTAACTGGAGCGATCGAACCGATTCTCAAAAAACCACTCCGCGTTGCACTTTTCACCCCGTTAAACTGAATTTGAATTTCAAGAGACTATGTGCCACCATCAGAACGCATGAACAATTAAATTACAAAACTAAATACTAACGAAAGCAACTTACAATGAGGCACTGTCAGTAACTGACAGTATTAATTTAAATCACAACAAACATGTACAGGGTGAGCCCAAGTTTTGACAGGTGATCTCGATTGAGCAAATAAGCGGTAATGCTCATTTATTTAAAAAAAAACTCAAGCATGATGATTCGACTTACATAACGAAGTCTTAAATTACACGTCATGAAGTGCAAAGCAAAGTACTTCGGCTACGAAATATAATATTCAGTAAGATTCTCGAACTGTCACCGATTCGGTTAGCTCACCTTTGTAGAAATTAAGGGCGATTTTATAGAGTTCTTTCGTTTCGAAGCCTGACAAGTGAGGCTCGAAAACATTTTCGTTTCTTGTGCCATCTTCGTTTTTCGTCGGTCGTGGTGACGACAGTTTTAACTTCTCTAAATCTTCCTCAACCGCGGAGATCTCTCCATTCATGGTCGCCATTTGCAATCTTCTCCACGTCAGTGAGCAGAGCTGCCAACCAAGTACATACGTTTTTCCGACGAGAAAATTCTACCTGTGAGACCAGAGAGAAGATGAGAGTAGCCACGCCCTCTACTTCGTAACAATTGCGTAGTGCTGCCCTCTCGGTAGCTGAAGCACCGAAAAGCGCATTACGTAGAGTCCAGCAGAGATGAGTTGGGAGATTGCTCACGGGCAGGGTAGAGTTCTAAATCCAGTAAGTTACGTCAGAAACGAAGAGAA